TTTAAAATACACCTTTTCTTCTGGATATGAATTTTGAGTGGCATGTGTCTGAGTTGTTTAAGAATTTTGTAGAAGCAGAACCTAAGTGTCATCAGTCCTTTACTCAGACAACATCACTGCTGCTTCCATGTTCCAAACAAGGGAGCACTCTCACTTCACAAAGGAATGAGCTACAACAATTTATGACAACATTGCCTCTAAAATCAGCAGCAATCCGAGGATACACCAGAAAGACCCACTTTCCAAGATGTGACATAAAACCATAAGAGCCCATTATTGTTTTTAATTTAAGAAAGAAAGCTATTCAAAACCCTTTTCTTTAGTACAGTTAGACCCAATGGTGGATTAGTTAATTTTTTTAATTTGGGACATAATTTACACATGTACACGTTATTTATGTACATGTTTATACATTTTCCACATTTTCTTTTCACTTAAAACATGTAAATGTACATCCATTCACTGTCCTTTTGGTGTAGAGGCAAGTGTAAAAGACACATATACAGATTTCCATTACACAGTTCTTAAATATGATAACGAGGGCCAGCCTTTCAAAGAAAACAATCTTCACTAATAGTCAAAGTGTTCTGTGATGTTGTGTTGTTCAATCATTTGCCACTAGCCCTGTAAGATCTGGTCATTATGATGCTGATACCTTTAGTAACTCAGTAAAGTTAATTAACCATCCAGTTGTTTGATTTATATCTGACAAACATCTTAGTAATCAAAAATTTAACTACGTTGACTAGAAATACTAGCGTAAGAGTAAGAATCTTAGAAAAATCAAACTCAATCTCTACACATGCAAGAGAACACATTTCTTGGGAAACTCACCTACATAAGAAATCGTTTTGCTCTTCATATACTTTATACTTCTTTTCCCAATTCAAAATAATCCTCTATCCCTGAAGAGAAGGTCAACAAACGTATGGCCTTCTAGAAAGATCGCTGAAGTTTAATAGTGTCATGTCTATAGTTGCTGCTTTAGGGAACAGATTGAAAATTACCACTTGGTTTCAGTATTTGCTTAATTAACTCTTACCTACAAAACTCAGAATCCACATTCTGGTCAATCATTTCCAATCTTTTGACATTCATGCTACTTAAGTTACAGTCAACCAGTCAACAAGTATTTATTGCTCTGCCAAACTAGTGAAATAAGCATAGCAGTAATAATAAATTCCTTTTAGGATTACATATTCTAGAAATGGAACATTAAAAAGAATCATTACCTGTATAAAGAAAGAAACAAAGAATATTAAGAAAATGTTACTTGAAAGTGCTGGTAAATGTCTTTTTTCCCCTCTTTTAAATGTCAAAAGAATGTCTTCAAGATTTATTTATTAAGGAAAAGGAGTCACCTAGGATGCACACAAGACGATTTTATAATTGCCATTTGACTCTCAAAAATCTTTGTATTAACTTAGTGCTAAATAGAGCTGTAAACTAATATGTATCTATTGTAGTTTCCTGTATTTTTCAGTTGGGAGTGTAATTAAATGAATTTATATGAGTTAACCATGTTTAAAACTATAAAATCCAGATACTGTAAAATTTAAGAAGTCATTAACAAGCTATATTTTAAACTAATATTATGATTGTACTACATTTCTACATCTCAATTCCTAAACACACATACACACACACACATTTCCCCTTTGGGGAAAATAAAACAGATTAAATTTTTTTTAAAAAAACCTACCACAGGGGATTTTTAGGGCGGTGAAACTATTCTGTATGATACTGTAATGGTGGACACATGTCAATAGACATTTGTCCAAACCCACACAATGTAGAACACGATGAGAGAACCCTAATGTCAACTACAGACTTCAGTTAATAATAACGCATCAGCATTGGCTCATCAATTGTAATAAACGTCCCACACCAATGCAAGATGTTAATAACAAGGATGCCTAGAGAGATAAGGGGAGACATGAGGAGGTATATGTGAACTTTGTGCTTTCCACTCATTTTTCTGTTAACCTAAAACTACTCGAGAAAAATAAAGTATATTAAAAAAGAGAGAGAATTCAAACAAACATCATGATCATCTTACCTTTGTATTGATTAGAACTCAATCATCAAAATTAATAAAGTATCCCCTTTGTCATGAGTTACAAATTTAAATAGTTTTAGAAATGATGCCACTGTTGATAAGTTTTGATGCAGTGCACCCTGTCAAGCACAGACATCATCTGCATTACTCGCTTCCTCTTTTAGGGTAGGCACCTGCACCTTCGTTTCAGTTTGAGGCTTGAAAATGACAGTGAGCACAGGTCACAGGCTGTGTGCAGATGTTCAATTCAAATTACAAATCCAACAATTTGTATTTATCAATCATAGAGAGAAGGCTCACGGTGTAAAGCAGGGCAGTGACCTGAAAGCTGTCACCATTATAGTACATCTAAGGGAATCTAGAAGCTTGGTTTCAGAGGTATTTTAAAAACTAAGAAAGTTTTAAAATACAGGATGGGCAGGAGAATGTTGGCTCAGAATTAAGATCTATGCAATTCCTCCTAGGCATTTAAGGAAAAAAGGAGAAATGTTTCAATTGAGGTATTAGTGTTGGGTGTTATTCTGACATTTGCAAGCCTGGGTGTTTTACTAGGATTCCACTTAGAGCTGTCTGACGGCCTTAACCCATGCCCAAGGCACTTGTTCCAAGACCACGAAAGTTATCAATTCTTTACCAGAACTTGCTAAAGATCCAAGTCTCCACAAGACAGACCAGGAAGGCAAAGAATGCTTGAAACAACTCAAAACAGCAATCCATCAAGGAGTGTCTGTGCCACACCTACTACATGTCTAACACAGAAATAATTTGCACACTAAAAAGCATTTTAGAGGTAATGGTATATTGGTATCATAGATGTAACAATAATTCACAGATAAATAGAACGCAGACCTCCGAAAATGTTTCATAAAAATAAAATTATGTTTCCAGTAGGAAATATGTTCAAAATATGAACTAAATTGTAATATTTATGTCAACAGTGCAGGAAATCAAAAATTCAGGAAAAGAAATTAGGGAAGAACATAAATTCAACATATCCATGGTGAGAGTGAGACCTTACCACTTTCCATAGTCTTGAGTAGTTAACCCATCGTTCCTAGCTCTCAAAGTCAAAAGCCAGAACTAAGCAGAATTTAAAGGTGACTCAGAACAAGCGAAAACCAAAGCCCCACTGATTACCTCAGCTGTTCAGTGTCTCTGTCTCTCATTGAGTTCACGATTTCACTATTTTCAGGTTTTCTTCAGGGCTATGACCTTCATTTCAAAATGTCTTTAAATATTTCAGCTACCTCTTTTCTCACCTTCTTTGTATTTCCTTTCCAACCCCTAAATTAATTTTAACTCTAATCAGATTCACTTTTTATTTCGAGAAGCTACTCTATTTCAAAGTTTAAGAAAAAAAGCAACATTTATTCAATGGAAATTCCCTTGTCAAGTGGTATAAATTAAACTCTTCAAGAATGAACACTGAAGTGATTCCAAGTGTTGCTAGAACTGGCCTCTGCTATTCAGACAGAGACAACTATCCCGTGAGCACAGGTCATATCCCTGTGTGGTGTCACCTAAATTGACAACAAACAAGCCTCAAAGTGTTGACTTGCCTTGACAGATCCAACCCAGCCTTCCCCTGGTGTGGTTCCTAGGACCAATTCAGGAACATCATAAAAAAATATTTAAATGATTTAACAATTCAAGAAGCTAAATTGAAATTGTGAGGAAATAATACACATAGAAATAAAGAAATATTCAAAAAGTAGAAATCCATCCATAATATAAAATAGGCTATCAAAAAATCTGTCTGCAGCAGCAGCTCCCCCAAAATTTTCTGTGCATCAAGATCATCAGGATTTTCTATTAAAACTCCACTGGCAACAACTGGGCAATGGGACTGTTGGGTGCCTAGGAAAACTGCATTAGTCACAAGCACCTTCAAACCACCATTCAAGGCATTGACCATGACCTTTGTGTTCCATCTACCTTTGTCTCACCCCTTTTCCTCACCTCTTCCTGTGTATCACCTCTATTACTAACACGGGATATCAGCTCGTTTCCCCATTGGTACAGAAAAAGGAATGAAGATAATCTGTGCTGCCATTATTAGCTACGCAGAGAAGGAATTTTTCTCTTTCATGGTGTGGTGTCACTCTTTCCATCATAAAGTAAACTGTTGGAGGGAGTGAAGGTCATATTATCAATCATAAGTATTTTTTTTCTTGTCTTCTACCCAGAATGTAATATAAATGACTTATGTTTGTTGCTAATTCCTTATACTTAGCTTTCACTTCCAAATAAAAATACCAAGCTGTCAAATATAGCTGCTGGCTAAATTTTTAAAAAAAAAGAAAGGAATGAAATGATAAGGGAAGAATCTCTGGCCTTCCTGCCAATCAAATCTTTCCCTGCACTACTGGCATGGTTCCCGGGTTAGCGAACTAGTGATTTCTTTACCTGATCCATCCATACAGTTCACCTGAACTACCCAACTGTCTCGACTCATCACCTCCCCTTGTAAGCTGAGACCTGGGCATTGTGTGTTTAGAAGAACCTGGTACCTAATATGCCTTGTCTATAAATTGAAAGTCTGGCTAATTTTCCACCAAGACTTACTGGAGTCCATTCCAATACCGTATTATAGTTGGTCATTTTTTTTCACATTTTAGAGACGAATCATACTCAGTATATTAAAACTACGTTACTTCTGTTAAAATTACTTTATACTGCACAGCAAACAGGTAACATTACCATTAGAGTTGTTTGGCAAGACATTTCTTTCAACTCAGGGCTTGGGGAAATAACCATGGGCATCCTAAGTAGCTTAAATCTAAGCCAGAGTTCAGTGCTGAAATAAGGAGTGAACTCCAGCATTTAAAAGACTGAACAGTGCTGCCCAGCAAGACTAACAACTTGGAAAAAGATAGCAAACTTTGTACTGAACATGGATTAACTGAAGAAAGCAGAAATTCTCAAAATGTTAGGTTCTTACCAGAAATGGACTCCAGCAAATGCAGGAGACACACATTATAGCCAGGAGCTGGATGACCATTTCAAAATGATGAGATCTGCCTTGTCTGTGCTGCTGATTTTTAAATTTAACTCTTAAAAGTGTAATTCCTGTGATGGCATTGCACAAGAATGAAACGACAAGGGCTAAGAGCCCCAGGAAAGAAAAAAGTAGAAGATAAAACCTGTCTTCCCAGTCTTTGATGTCTTCCGTGTTGTAGAAACACCAGGTCCTCGACGCTTGAATTTTATAGTCGCGATTTCCAAGGATGGGCAGTAAAGCTATGAAAACAGCAAACAAGCACACGCCACTCAACATTATTTTCACATGTTTGGACGTAATTTTCGTAGAATGAAATATTGGTTTGGTGACCCCAATACATCGCTCAATGGCCATTGCACTGCCTAGAAGAAGTGGGCACAGACCAGAGAATACCATGCAGATACCAAAAATACTGCAAAGGACATTTGATTGGTCAAAGCGGATCCAGTCTTTATCAGAAGCATATACAAAGACTGCTATAGCTCCATTGATGAGGTGGCCAAAGAAGTCTGTGATTACCAGGGCACTAGCCAAAAGCAGAAACGATGCCTTGGACTTCTGTCTAAATCTCTGATACGCCTTCATGAGAATAGCAATGGCAAGGCTGTTGGATAAGATTCCCACTGTCATGAAGATTATTGAAAAAAATACTGAAAGCCGGTTTTCCGTCTGGCAAGTTGTATTTGAAAGGAGCCCAGCTGCAGGAGACACTGGCTGTTTGGAATTGTTCATGGACATTGTTGTAGAGATAAAAGCTGGTCGCTCAAGTCATCTCCCTCTCAGAACAGTGCAGGCTTGCAGTCCAGACATCTGTAGCATAAAGACAGGATTTATGAGCACTGGGTAACTGCTCATCTGACATTTAAGACCGCAGCGCCCCAGCACCCTGTGGTGGGAATCAGATTTATCTGGCCTATCAAAAGCAAGGTTGCATCACAGTGTAAACAGCACACATCTGCCTGCGGTTCCACGAGTCATTTTCAAGGTAAAGAAGCTGCCAAAATGGAGACCCCTTGGTTAACCTCTGGGGCCCTCTGCCAATGGGCACCTCCTAAATCTCTTCCTGACACTTCCCTGACACATTAAAACTTTTTACGAAAATCACTAACAAGATTAGATTTAAACCCAATAAAGTTTTTAAAAGCAGAATCGTCTATTTAAATAACGACATAACATTTCAAAATTTCCTGCCTTTTTCTTTGATGGGTTTCGTCCCCAGACTGCAGATTATTCCTTAGGTGAACTACCTGTTTGTTAGCTGACAAAACAATCTTCTCCAAACTTTGGGAGGGGGCAAAGGGGACCAGCAAGCTCACTGATGTTAAATAGGGCTTCTCTGAATAAGTTTTAAAACTATTTGATTTCGATCAAATAACAGCAAACCACACGCATCAGTGACCCACGGGAAGCAGAGCGGTGAGGCTCTCTGAAGGTTTTCTGGTCCACCTACCACCTGTGCAGAAATCCTGGCTGGTGAGAGGAAAGGAGGCGGGCGGCGCTCACGGTGAGCACATCTGCCTAGATGCTAAGTTACAGCTTCAAGGTAGCAACATCCAATACAAAGTATTTGCCGCTCCTTCCCTAGTGAATTAAGGCCTGAGTCACAGACCCTCAGTACCCACCGACCACAGCCACCCCGCCCCGAGCTAATTCGCTTGGCGTTTCCCAGAGCAGCTTTCCGGGAGGTGGGAATTCCGGAGCCAGCCTTTCCTGGGACCCGCCCGAGTGGGGCCGCCCGGCCTGCCCGGAGGGCGGCCGTCTCCTCCAGGTCTTACTCACAGCTCGACTTTCTCCCGTTACTTCCCCGCCGCCCGCAGCCCTCTGCTTGCAACATCCTTCCCAAACCTCCTAACTTGCTGCAACTTTCTGCGATTGCTCAAACGCCAGAGGGCCGTTTTCCTTCTCCCAACCCCGGGGGCGCCAAAGGCCTGCTCTGGCCTGGGTGCAGGACTCGAAGCGTCGCCAACAGGGAACCACACAGCCAAAAGGGGATAGCTTCCTCTGCCCATTTCCCTCCTCTGAGACTCTCTCTACCCGGTCCCCAGGCGCCCAGCTCAGAATCGGGACGGGTCAGCCCGAGTACCCTTCTTTCTAGAGTCTTCCCAGCTTGGGGCATAGTCTAAACTTGTCGCCAAGCGCAGGCTAAGGTGCCCTCCAGTGCGGCCGGCTGCAGATGCCGCCGAGCGTCCAGGGATAGAGTGGCCAACCCGCGATCGGGCTGAGCATCCGGAGGCAGCCGCGTGGGAAGCCAGCCGCCGGAAGGGTGCTTACCTTGGCGTCCAGGGCCGCCGGCAGGGCTCTCGGCGGAGCAGCAGAGCGCGCCGCTCGGTGCGCCATCGCGCGCCCGGCTCCGCTCCGCCGCCGCCGCCACAGGTTCCTCGGGCGCCGCGCCCCCGCTCCGGCTCCGGCCCCGGCCCCGGCTCCCGCTCCCGCCCCGGCCCCGGCCCCGGCCCCGGCCCCGGCCCCGGCCCCGGCTCCGGCTCCGGCTCCGGCTGGGTCTGGCCGCGCGTCCCTCTGCGCGCTCCCCCACCGTGGAACCTGCCGGGCGCTCGGCTCCTCCGATCCCTCAGCACCTAGCCGCGCTCGCAGCCTGGGCAGGCTGGAGGGCGCGGGTGACCTCCGCCCCTTTCTCTTCTGTCTCCTCTCCGCCCCTTTTCCATGAGCCCAGAGCCGGACCCGGAGAGACGAGGGCATCGCGCTCAGATGCTACGGCTCCCCCGTCAGCCTCAGAGCTGCCCTTTCAGCAGCCCGACCACTTAGGGAAAAGTTTGTTTGAACTCATTTTCAAGCTCAAGACGCCATCCCTAGGGCTACAAAATGGGAATCTGGAGAGCGGAGGAAAGCTTACCCACAGCTGTCAGATCGTAGTTTGCAGAGTTAATTCATCCCAAATCCAGCTCGGAAAGGATAAAGACACCAGGTACGAAGAAAGAGATGGTGTATTTGAGGAAGGGCTTGGTGGTTGATATCCCCCACGGAGTTGAAAGCAGGTAGTCAAGCCACGTGTTGTAAATGGAAACAGTCCCTGCCTTAGGGTTCACTGTCACTTAGAGCACTGACTGTGTTTCTGGCTTTCTAAGGAATGTGAGAAGGGAAAGCGATGAGAAGCATTCTGGAAGAACCCTGCAGACAAGGGATTGTAACATTTTAATGATTAAAAGGCCCAATGGGGAGAGAATTTCTCGTGAGATATTTACCCAAAGAGATGTGAATCTAACAAATTTTATGGAGAAAATTTCATGATCAAGTGAAGCAATATCCATTACTTCATAAGAAATTATAATGAGCCAGTTTAATACTACAGCTGTTTTTTACTAATACCATTTTGCCCCATACCTATTAACTGTGCCTCATTTTTCCAGGTAAACACTTACAGGAATCTATTACTGATCTTTGCTCTTTTTATTTTAGTAAAATGTTGCCACCACCTATGTAAAAGACCAGTGTCACACAGAAATAAACCATCTTTTCTCCATTCTAAAATCAGAAGAGGCCTCTAAATTTCTGGAAATTGAAAAGGATCATAAAATACTACAGCGAGATAAAATAAATTAGCCGTTAATTACAGAAAAGAATGATTGCACAGTTTTCCCCTGTGGTAGATATCGAGATGTTTTTGTAATGACCTGATCATAACTTGTAAAATAAACTGTTACTCAGGTATGGTCAGGGAACTGAACAATTTAGTTAATCAAATATTCTGGTTAGTAGAGAAACATTATGTCTGGATGGCCAGTATCCAAAGAACAACTGTGTAATAAACCACATTGAAAATGTGAATGATATAGAGTACCATTTTCCCTTTGATGATTAATAGCACTTAATCACATTATATTGCAATTATCTGTTTACTTACATCTCTCCCACTGAACTGAATTCCTACAGAGGTCTTGCTCCTCTGTCTATTCTCACCTAGAAATATGCCTGGTCACTTATCAAATGTTGCTTGAATTTATCAGTGTTACAGTCAGCATTTCAAGTATTACAGTTTGAGGTCTAGGAAACTCTCCCTCCCTCACTGGAACCCCCCACTAACGTCAGCTGCTCTATCTACCGAGTAAAAAAAGGAAAAAACCTCAATAATGCAATGTCAAATCATAACATTCATTGTGTAATATACTCAAAACAATATTAATTTATTTTTCAAAGTACTAGGTAAATCCCATTTAAAAAAAATTATCTACTTCGCATGCATTCTTAGAGTTCCTTTTTTAAAATCTATTCTTTAATCAAGACACATTTCACCTGAGTATCAATAAAAGGTTCCAAAGTACCTACATGTCTTCTCCTCAAGACGGCAAGATTATGTTACTGTTAGTAAAGCAAGCTATTAATTTGTATGGAAGATTAAACAACTAACTACTCTTAAAAGAAAAACATAGTAACACACACATACACATGTCTGGCCTTATGGGACCAAAATCTGATCCTCTGTTCAAAGTTCCCAGAGAAAGTCTTTGACTGCTTACATGAGGAGGAAGAGCTGGTGAATCAGCAGATGTGGGAAACACACAGATCAGGAAACAAACGGGGATGGCTGATAAACTCTTTTGAAAAGTGATAGTTTGTATTGTTATTTCGGAGAAGTGGATACTCTCATAAAACTACGCACTTATACATTCGTTCAACAAAGTTCTTGAGTACCTGTCAGGCACTGTTTTCTAGAAGGCAGAAGTATAGCTAAGAGAACAAAGCACACGAGCCCCTGCTCTGGTATGGCTTCTGGGCTCAGGGAAGGTGCTTACTTTTGTGGCATGCATGCCCGAAACCTTGATGTGATGTTACATGCCCAGGATTCCCTTTGTGTTCAATGCAGCCAAAGCTGATGTTGGCCTGTCTACAGGGAGATAACATACCATGACAAGTGTGTGCTTGGCAATCATTTTCATTCAGGATTAGATGCTGGACACTTTGCTCAGAAGATGTGCACACTATAATTAAAGTCAGAGAAAAAAGGACTCAGTGACACTGAGGTTGAAATTAAAACTCCATAAAAATCAAAGGGAGTGTTGAAAGTTGATTTTTATAGTTTAAAAAAACTGTCTAGAAAAGCTTTTCTGGAATTTGCCATCAAGATTAATAATAGAAACATGCCCCGGTTTGGTAGTAATGAAAATAATAATACCTTCTTTTATCTTTTTATTTTTATTACATAACTGCTTGATGAAAATCATATTAATGGCAGCAGAGCATTGTCTGATATGGTGCCAGAAGACGAGAGGATGGCACAAAAGACTGGGCAGGGTTCCGCTCTGCTGTACACAGGGTCACTAGGAGCCCGAATCTGGAAGGTACTAACAACAAAACTATTTGATACATAAAAAGTAACATATGTAACACACTTGTAAATTGTGAATTATGATATAAATTAAAACACCCATGCACCTTCTACCTAATTTAAATCCATTAAGGGATTCCTAGGGCTGCTGTAACAAAGTACGTACCACAATTCAGTGGCTTAAACAGAAATTTGTTGTCTTACAGTCTGAAGGCTAGAAGCCCAAAATCAAGGTGTTGGCAGGGTTGGTTCCTTCTGAGCACTGTGAGGGAGAATCTGTCGGGGCCCAAGGCCTACCTTCTGGTGATTTCCTGGCAATCTTTAGTGTTCCTTGGCCTATAGATGCATCACTCCAACCACTGCCTTCACCTTCACCTGCCATTCTCCATGTCTCTGTCCTCACATGACCATCTTCTTATAAGGACCCCAGTCTTATTGGAGTAGGGGTCCACTGTACTCCAGTATGACCTCATCTTAATTAATTACATCTGCAATGACCTTATTTCCGAATAATGTCACATTCTGAGATACCGGAGGTTAGGACTCCAACATACATATCTTTTTTGGGGAGGAGCAATTCAATCCATAACAAAGACTGTTAGAACATTACTAATATTGTTTTATCCATCGGCACATTTCTGCCTCCGTTGCATTCCTCTGTATCCTGCCCCCAGAGACAACTGACATAACCACTATCCTGAATTGTATTGTTGTCATCATTCCCTTGCATTTTATTGTTTTATCACATAAATATGCAAATGAACAAATATATTATTTAATTTTCCTTGTTTTGTAACGTAACTTCTGTAACTTGCTTTTTCCATACAAGAGTTATGATTCATGTATATTGTTATATATAGTGCTAGCTTATTCATTTACAAAGTTCTACAATACCTCAATGTTTTGACATCCAAATTTTTTAATAGTATTCTGTCAGTAAGCATTGGGGTTATTTCCAGTCTTTTGTTCTTAGGAAATATTCTACTCTGGTTGGTCTCATACCCATCACCTTGTGTGGGGAGCTTCTGTAGGATATATACCTGGAGGGATATCACTGAGTCATAGGGTATGAGATTGTTCAACTTTACAAGATGATGCTAAAACCTTGTATCGATAAATTCACGCTCCTTCAAACTGTGCTTAGGAGTTCCCCTTCAGCCAAAGTCCTGATAATGCTTGGAGGTGTCCAGCTTCTTACCACCCAGGTGGTCGTAAAATGAAATCACATCATGGGCCTAAATTGCATCTCCTTTTCCATTCACGTTTCTTCTGTGAAATAACCGTTCGTCTCTTTTGTCCAATTTTTTGCTGGATTGGTTGTCCTCTTCTTACTAATTTTTTTGTGTATTCTAGATACTAATCTTCTATCAGTTATATGCTTTGCAAACATCTTTTTCCAAATCACAACTTGCCTTTTCACTGTCTTTGTGCTATCATTTTTTACGAGCAGTTCTTGATTTTAATACGATCAAATTTAAATATTTTAAATCACATCCTTTGTGTTGTATTTTAGCATTTTAAAATCCTTCCAGAAACTGGATTATAAAGATATTCTACTCTATATTTTCTAAACATTTTAACCTTTTTGCCTTCCACATTTAAGTCTTTAATCCTTCAAATAATGATTTTTGAGTACTATGTGAGGGAGGAACCCAGGGTTTTTCTCCATATAAATAACCAATATTCATGGTGCCATTATTAAATAACCCCTCTATTATAAGTTGAGTTGTGTCCCCCAAATTCATATGTTGAAGTCCCAAACCCCAGTACTTCAGATGTGACCTTATTTGGAGATAAGGTCTTTACAGCGGTAAATGACTTAAAATGAGGTCAGCAGGGTGGGTCCTAAGCCAATATGACTGGTGTCCTTGTGAAAAGAGGAAATCTGGAGACAAACACACGTACAGGGAGAACACCATATAAACATGAAGATGGCCAACTACCAGACAAGGAGAAAGGGCTGGAACAGATCCTTCCCTCACAGTCCTCAGAAGGAACCAACTGTGCCAACACCTTGATTTCGGGCTTCTAACCTCCAGAACCGTGAGACAATGAATTTCTGTTGTTTACTCCACCCAGTTTGTGGTACTTTGTTCTGGCAACCCCAGCAAATTTATACACCCTCCCTTCCCCACTAACCTGGAATATCTGTATCTCATATATCAACTTTCCATATATGTATGAGAAAATTATTATTTGTTGACTGCCTACTATATGGTAAAAACTATACTGGTACTTTAATCATGTTATAATATTTAATCCTCTAAACAAATGTGTGAAGTCCATGTGGCCATCATCTCTCACCTGAATTATGGCAACAATCTCTTCCTAA